AAATTCGTGCAAGTTAAACACATGAGCAGATTGCAAAGGCTCTGGGTTAAAATATAGCCTTCAAATCTTATTATATAAATTTACCAACATACTGCCGTTTTGTCACTTTGTGCTGTAATATAGCAGCACAAAGTAGTCGAACATTTCCTTCTCCTACAGTCACAGTTAGAAAGATTCTCTTTGTCTAACCAGCAGATCTACTTATAGACTTCTTATGTAATTAGACGACTCCACATATGTGTTATTTAGTATCTCTCTGGGCTTATTGTTGACTTCTGAACCTCTGTGTATTGAAGTCGACTTTTTTCTGGATCTTACGTGGGCGTGCTGTCCTCTCCTTGCTTCCTTCTCCTGCTTTCCTCCTCCACTATCTTCCTCAGCCCACAGCTTTGCTCTTCGGGCTTGGCCGTGACCGCAGACTCATGCAGTGTGATGTCACACCTCACACCTGCATCCTCCCTGCGCTTGCAGCTCCGGAAGCTTTGACCCAGAGACGGACACTCGCCCAGGAACTCTTCCTTGCCAGTGCACCTCACCTGGTCCAGGTGAATGGGTCCTTTCCCCTGACCAAAGCCTCTGGCTGCTGCTGCTCCACCACTGGAAATGGTAAGATTGTTCAGTTTCCTTATTTATTCAATCAATCAGCGCCTAGTTTTATGGATGTGAACATTAACCTGTGTCCAAGCTGTCTGCACACCACTGCAGCATTCAGGTCGTTCCATCCTGAGTCACAAATACTCCCCCAATCACCATGGAGATAAACCTCCACTCGACCCTCTTTCCTGCTCCTGCCACCCACCAGACGCACCAGGGGACCTGACAGAAAGAAAAAAAAAGAAAACTCTCATTTAAATTCATATCTGTGCATCTAACCAGTGCAGCCTCCACCTCCTCAGAACCAGCTACGTGTCCACTGACAGCTTTAAATGTCATTTTCACCCTGGTGTGTTTTCTCTGCACTTCTTTTTTCATTCTAATGACCTGTGTGTGTCAACAGGAGGCGCAGAACCTGAGATACTAAACAAGGCTTTCTTCTCCTCTGCTGTCAACATGTGACATTCTAACACCTTAGAAGAACGTGCAGCCGTCTGCTGATTTAAAATGAGGCAACAACAATGAGCCAGAAAATAAAACTAGGTTTAGTCTTTCACAGACTGAAATATATGTATTTTTCAGTCTTGTCTTTACAGATTATATGCACTATGAAGTGGATTCCGTTATTTTATGTATATTTTATACATCTGTATATAAATGTTATTAATGTGACTTAACCTGGTACAATGTGATCATTTGTCCGATGCTAAAATCGGCAGATAGAGTGAGGAACCAGAAGGTGGCAGTAATGTAACAAAACTGATTCCAACTGGCCAACACATTTTTTTTTAGTAATTGCAATTTTTTCACTTTATCTAAACTTAAATTACCTGTTTTAATAAATAAATGAATACACTTGTCAGAGTGAGAATTATTAAGTTGGAAAAATTATTAAGGAAAAATTAAAATATCTTTCATGTGCCCTGTGTTTAACATGTGTTAAGAGTGTCACAGTAAAGTCATCCTGAAGGATAAAAGTGCATTAATACGATTGAGGTCAGGTATCAGGACCAGCAGATTTCCTGTTCATCTCTTACCTGTTGAAGGAGAGATAACTGGGACCTTGTTGGTCTCCTGGCTGGGTCGACCCCTGCAGCGAACCCCGACATCCTCGCTGTGAGAGCAGTCGGTCCGTCCCCAGATCCCATGTTCACAGTCCAGCAGAGACGTCTCAGAACCCTCACACTGAACATCATCCAGGAGGATCAGGCCCACGCTGTCCCCGAATGTACCGTCTGACACAACCTCTGCGTGACCCCTGATCACACAGACAACTTCAATTAGCAAATGACAACATCTCCATGTTTTCACTTAACTACACTACTGAATTTATCATCATGCATATGTTAAGGAACAAGCCATGTTTCAAACACTGAGAAGTGAAAACAGAAAATGTTTTATGTTATTCCAACAAATGAACAGAAAGTGCTTTCTATTCTGTAACTCCTGTTTCCTGTGTTTAATTATAACACAGGCGCTCCTGGGAAATAATCAGGCTGTAGTGTTCTTAAGGAAATACTGCTCAGACACAAACAAGTACAAAGAGCTGTAAAATCCTTCCAGCAAATATATAACATATAAACTTTATGAAGATGCTGTGGATGGATGGATGAATCGGTGGACTACTGTTTGGCTCACAGACACATACTAAAGTATTGGTTCCTTCAAACCTGTAGCCCAGCTGTCTGCAGACCACCTCTGCGTGCTGCTGACCCCAGTGGTCGTCACACACCGTTCCCCAGTCGCCGTTGTGGAAAACTTCAACTCGACCCTCCCATGGATTGTCTCCACCCACCAGACGTACCACACCATCTGAAACCAGGTCACACTCTCTTATTATTGCTGTCTGCCCTTCAGCACCATCAGTGACTAATTGTCAGATCGACAACCGTGATGCCAGAACACACATCATCTATATACATGAATCTGCATTTGTCAGATTATTACTTGGATCAGTCCTAGATTACACTAAGGAATGGCAGCTGCTGATTTATAACCTCCTCTGGTTTCATTAATCCTGTTTCTACTTGTCAAACGCGGGACGCTGATGCTGCTTCTCATGCTAATGATTTATTGATACCCAGTCGCTATTAATAGCAGGCTATCAGTGATGTTATAGCAGTGTGTATGTGTGTACCTGTATAGGGGCTGCAGGAGACTCCAGCATCCTCCATGTGGTCACAGTTGTGTTGCTCCCAGTCACCATGATGACACTGATCCAGGAACAGCTCATTTCCTGTGCACTTGACTGCGTCCAGCAGGATGGGCCCTGAGCCCTGACCAAAGTGAGCCCATGACCAGGCTTTGGCCACTCCTCTGTAAACACAAGGACAAGATCAATGGCTTAATCGACCGTAGAAGGCAGATTTTGAGAAAGGTGACATGATATGGGGCAGTGGTGGCTTGGTGGTTAAGGAAGCAGACTTGGGTCCAGAAAGTTTCAGGTTTGAGTCCACCCTCTGCCAGGTTACCACTGAGGTGCTCTGAGCATGGCTCCGTCCCCACTCACTGCTCCACAGGCTCTTAAAGCTGCCCACTGTTCACTTTGGTGATGGGTTAAAAGCAGAGGTCACATTTGGTTGTGTGCAGTGGTGTGCTGTGTCACAATGACAAGGAGTTCACTTTCTAACTACTTGTTTTTATCAGTTCACATCTTAACTCCTGAGATGTGAACTGATAAAAACTGTTAACATCACAACCTTGATTCAGCACCTGAAAATGTAATAAGTAGATCTGAAATGTAATGTGGAGTCATGCCACGCAGTACAAACAAAGAAAGTTGTTAAAATACTTTGAGCCATTTTAGAATGTTAAACTATGGGGCAAATTCAATACAGTTGAAATACCAGAGTGTAAACAAGTCATCTTTAGAACCTGAGCAAACTACATTTTGATAGTTATTTACTTTCAAGCATTATGACTGAATTTGTTCAAACGTCAATGTTATTGCCTGATTGTCATCCAGACTGGAATATCACAGATATCAGAGTGAGAAAAACACTTGTCGTGAAGGGAATAATCATGCATTTTCACTTCATTTTAGCTAAAAGTGTCAACACACCTTCACAGGGCTGTGCAGCTGTGTGAAAAGCTGTTGTGAGACTGCAACTATTTAAGAGCACACAAGCACAGGCACAGGTGCACACAGGGTGAGAATTTCCTTTGGTGTTTTGGGGAGGGTTTAGTATTTTTCATTGCCCTGTTGCTGAAAATCACAATAGTAATAATTCATTTACTGAAGAGTAACTCATTAGCTCAAAACCTAATGAAAACATATATAAAATATATTTATATTTATTTAAAATTAGGCTGTTGTGTGAATTAGTTTGTACCTTTAAAAAATACTTTTTTAAATATATGCATACAAGTATAATATAACATTTTGGAAAAGTATGATGGGTAATGATGGTGAAAGATTCAGCTAAATGACTTTTTATTAAAGACAGATTAATAGTTCATTATTAAATAGATTTTTATGTGTTTTATGATGCAGCTACGTGTTTCTAAATGTAAAGCCAAGCAAATAGATATAAGGAAGTAGTCAACCACCAGAGCTATGATGCGAGAGATGGAGCTACCAGGTAGGAGACAAAGAGGAAGCCAAAGAGGAGATATATGGATGCAGTGAGGGAGGACATGCAGATAGCATGCCATTCACTTTGTTTGGTTCTTGTTCAGCATAATATTATGTTTTTTTATTATCAAAATGAGGAAAAAAAGACATTAAAACTGGTGTAAAATAACTGCTTTGCAGCCATCCTTGATAAAGCCACTAGCTGAAAGGGATTCTTTTTTCCTAGTCATATAAACATTTGGTCATTTCTATTATTATGGGTTTTCTTTGTTGGATATTTAGTTCGAGGTCAAAGCGATGAGGACAGGTGACTAAATGTCCCCACACAACATGTTGGTTTGGTGCAGTGGTGAAGTCATCAAACATACCCAAAACCAAGCTGTCTGCACACAACTTCGGCATCTTTGTCGTCCCACTGGTCATCACAGACCGTGCCCCACCTTTCAGCGTGGAACACCTCCACTCGACCTTCAAAGTCCTCCTCTCCTCCAACCAAACGCAACGGAGGACCACTGCCTACAAAACAAAAGTCGTTTATCCCCCCAAAAATATTTTTAAAGGCAAATTTGATGATTTTAATAAAATGGAAGTGTTTTATAACAACTCTACAAGACAAAACCTCAAAGACAAATCCCACTGACCTTCTGGTGGCTTACAGACCACTGCTGCCTCGTTCCCATGGCTGCAGTCACCGGTGACGAACGTCCGGCTACGACACTTACTGAGGCTGCTCTCATCCCCGCGGCAACCTAATCGCTCGTAGTGAAAGAGGCCAGAGCCTGAGCCAAACTGTGAGTGTCGCAACACTGTGCCAATTTCACTGTCAACAAAAGACGTGTTATATTTTTTAGAAAAAAAAAAACAACGGTACAGTCATATGTTACAGTCCTTGACCTTTACATTCTACCTTGGTTCTGGATTAGAAACTACAGCTTTATGGTAGAGCCTCTAACATCAAATGGATCTTTCATATTCATAAATTTGTTTTAATATTGCTAAAAATATCAACTACAAACTAAATCGTTAGCAACTAAATGTTTTCAAAGGTTTACAAAAATAGTATGAGCTCAGCACTGTAGAACGCTGGGCAATGACAATGGAGTCAAACCTACACTCTACACTGTATCTACCAACACGAACATAAAACAGCAGCCTTCTCTGCAGTTATGTCACAGATCTTTGAATATTATAGATGAAATTGGACTTGTATTTTTAAACCTACCCCAGGCCGAGCTGCCTACAGATGACACTGGCATCCCTGTCTGTCCAGTGTGAGTCACACACCGCCCCCCACTGACCATTCAGATAGACCTCCACCCGCCCACTGCCAGCAAACGAACTGCCAACCAGACGAGCAGCACCTAAGGAGTTGGAGAGACAGTTAGCTGATTACTGTAGCATGAACTTCATGTTGTAAATGTCAGATTATTATAATTACAGCATCTTGGAAACTTTGGAAACTTTTTACTACCTTTAAATAAAACTTATATTTGAAAAAATAGATATTTGGTTCCCTTCAGTTTTTTTACCATTTCAGACTAAATCTCTCTCTATATATATACAGTATATATATGTATATATAGTTCAGTGGAATAGCCTCTGATTTACTGCCCTTTTACTGATAAAAATGTAGAAATTGTAAATATCTAAAAGAAAACTTTGAACCACTTTTTTTAAATTCCATGTCGTTTTTTTGTGTATTTTTTGTGGTCTGTGAACTCACCCTGGTGACAGTCACAATATGCCCATCCAATGGCACCAGAGTTCTGCCTAAAGAAACACCAGGGGTTGGACTCTCGGTCTGGGTTCCTGCAGAATCCGTGGTCACCCAAACCTCGGCCAGGGTACTGCATCACATAGTCCGGAAACTCAGTCCATTTTAGACAGGGGGCGCCAGAGTCTGTCTGGGACACGGTGCCATTGTAGTATCCCAATTCTGTGAATCCCTCGGAGCAGGATAGAGGGACTGCAGGGAGAACGGGAAGTGGAAAGACCAGTCAGAGGATGTGAGGGATGAGGTGAGGATGAGATGTTCTGGACCTGAGGTGAAGAAGGTTTTTGGGGTCAGAGAGGTAAACGAGGATAAGAACATGTGAAATGCAGAAAGTTGGAGTGGAATTGCTTTGAATGAAATAACATTATCCCTGTGACTGTGTTTGGTCTGATAGAAGAGCTGACATGAAGAATTTTCATATTCTGTCCCTGCCACAGCAGAATCCTTCCTCTCAGATCCATGCTGAACTGGAGATATTTCCATTTCCTTAACCTGCCCTCATTTAACACAGTCATGGCCCAGGCTTTTTTATTCATCCTCTTTGAGCAGCAGGAAAGTGTGAGTGAAGGTTAGAAGAACTGGGAGAGAAACTGCTGACAGCAAAGTGCCGTAAAAACCAGGACACAAAACAGAGGAGCTTTTTCAGTGACGTCTGATAATTAATGAACAGGCGTCACACTGCAGAACAGCTTCACTTTGAAACAGAAAGCAACGATTACAGTCAGAGAGAGAGAGTAACTGTTTAGGTGTTAAATAGTTGAAGAGATAAATCGCTTCTCTCTGAGGTATTTATAGTCTCCGTTTATAACTTGATGCAGGAGTGAATCATTAACGGTGGTGTGGCTGTTGTTTATTTAAGGTTGACGTTCACCGGTTACAAAAAGAAGCCTCTTTGTCTATAAGGTATATTCTCCGTCTAAGTAACTCTGGGTTGGACTCCAGGTCAAAAAAAAAAAAATTGACCAAAGTGATTCTATTTTAATTGCGACTGCACCTACGCCTCGCAATAGTGTAGCAGACAATCTTCAAAACTGGTCCATTCCAGTTTAATTGATACAGTAGGAGGCCAAATGACAGAAAAGGCAGTCACTAAAAGCAACAAAAACATTTTCTTCATTTAAAACAATTGCTTTTGGGAGGATGAACATGTGCACAACCAAAAAAGACAAGGCCAAAAATTCAGACCTTAAGGAATTCCTGACCTTGAAAGCAGCCCAGTGTTTCTTACAAGTCAGACAGTTTGTAAACTGTATTCTCTCCACAACCAAGAGAATATCTGTCTCCATAATCATACCTGGAACTACAGCTGCCAGAAATTGTTTTTTATTATTATTATTTTACACAGTTACAAAGACCAAGCAGGTAATAAATTGTAAAAGATAGCAGTTCAATAAGCAGCCATGCTCTTATCTCCTCAACACACACACGCCCAGCTCAGATGACCGTCAACACTGCGTGGATGATGCAACAAATACTGTCTGAGGACACACACACCAATGTGCAAAACACGCACACACTTATATTTCACTGCATTGTGAACACACGGTGCTGCATTCAAGCACAAAATCACACTCAGGGCTGAATACACACAATCAGGTGGTGTGCAGTTTGGTAGAAAATTAAGAGGAAGAGCAGAACAGAGAATATGTGATGGCACAGGACACCTCATGACAAGGGGAATCAATTACACAGAAGTGAACCGAGCTGAAATCTGCTCCAAAACAATAAATAATGCACAGCACCCGCAGACAATGCAGCTCTAACCTCAAAAAGTAGCAGTATTTCAACCTGCATGGTCTTCTACTGTACTAAGAGTCCAGACTGTCCCTTTAAGAGTATGACACAGGAGAAAGTGAAAGCAAGTGAACAGAGAACAGAAAGCAAAGACAAACGCACACTTTTTTTGTGCAGGGCAGGTCCTACCAACAACAGTGAGTATTTCCTTTCAGATCCAAACATATCTGTGACTCTTTAAACATATATACGTATATGTATATGTATATGTATATATATATATATAAATTCCCATTTTATTTTTAGAACAAAGAAAACTAGTTGTGAGGTTAGAGAATTTTCGAAGAAACACTAAGTTGGGGGCCTTATTTTGTCACAACGTCATTAGCAATATACTTCACATTGGATAAGAAGTATGCATTATAACTAGACATACTGGAGGTCGTCAGTTGTATGTTTATATAGGAAACGCAGTTTTCAGTTCACTATACACCGTCAGCGATGTGTTGTTGTTTTTTAACAAGGAGTTTGTTTAGACAACAATGTGCATCTCTGCTCTGTCCTGACTGACAGGGAATAGCAGGTTAACAGGTAAACCTCGTCTTTAGGAACTTTTTTGTCGTTACATTAGACGCATCTAATGTTTGTCTGCCAAGTCGTTGGAACAGCAGCAGCCAAAAACACAGCAGCGTCCGTCTTTGTCAGAGGCGAGGAGACAACAGTAACACTACCAGCCGTTTCCATAAACTCTCTTTGCCCCTGCAGCAAAGTCTGCAAAAAAGTCTGCATTGTGTACGTCCGTGGTCGGACCTTTCAGAAGCAAAAGTTTAAACTCATTCTCTAAAGATACGTGTTGTTAAAACAACACTTTTCTGGCCTTCTGTCGGGAAATATTGCGTCTCAAATTCTATGCGAGGAAAGTGGTTGACTTTAAGCAAGCACTTGTTTACTTTACGTTAACGTAAATTGTCGTAACACCAATACAACATGACGTTGCACTTCCAGGTCAATTTCAAATTTAATCGTACGCTACAGCATTTTATTTATTATGCGCATCCTGAATATTATCCACGTAATATTTCCAAATATTAAGACTTTTCCAAAACTTTGAAGAAAAGTTTATTTTTCGTTAACTTTTAAAATACCTAATAAATGCAATTTCAATTTCCATACCTTTTCCAAAAACGATCTTGACTTTACGAACCCTGTATTATTATTATTATTATTATTATTATTATTATTATTATTATAACCAGTAGTAGTACAAGTAGTAGTGCAAGTAATAGTTTAAAACCTAACTTTAATCACTTAATGTTGTCATGTCTATACTCAAAAGAGCAGAGGAATCTCTTTTGTTTTACTAAAACTGTTTTTTCCATTTTATTTTTAATTTTTAGGGGGAGCTACTGCCACACACTGGTTATCTATCTTAAAAGTTCTGTAAAAAATTTAGCACCTCAAGTCTCCGAGGTAATTGATAGTACTGTGTGTATTTTCTCCAGGTACTCTGGTTTTCCCCCCACAGTTAAAACCATACAGGATTAAGATAAACTGGACACTTTAAATAAACCATTGGTATGTGTGGGGGTGTGAATGGTTGTTCGTCTCTAATTGGCCTAGCACCACTGTGAATAAATGAAGTTATATGTGTCAGGTGAGACTATTTCCATAACTCTCCAGTGTACAAACATGGCATTTTAAGACCCGATTACTTCACCTACTGCTGAACTCAAGACTAGATGTTTTTGGAGTCATTTCACGGCAAATAACTCCGCTTTCAAACACACACACACACACACAAACACACTCTAGCAATCAAAACTTCTGTCTTTTGTTTCTGTGTGCTTAGAAATGGCCTCCAACCTCAGCCTCCTGTCTGAAGACCAGCTTCTTTGTTCAATCTGTCTGGATTTGTTCACTCAACCAGTGACCACCCCATGTGGACACAACTTCTGCATGTCCTGTCTCACCTCTTACTGGAACAGTCAAGCAGTCTGTCAATGCCCTATCTGTAAAGAAACATTTGAAAATAGGCCCAATCTCAGGGTCAACACTTTTATCTCAGAGCTAATGTCACAGTTCACGTTGCTTCAGGTAACAGATTCTCAGACCTGCACCCTGGACCAGCCGAAGGTGAACTCTGACGGTGTGGTGCTTTGTGATGTTTGTACTGATGACCAGCAAAAGGCTGTTAAATCCTGCTTTGACTGTCTGACATCGTACTGCAGTCCCCATTTAGAGCATCATTACAGAGCTGCTGGACTGAAGAGACACACGCTGTGTGATCCTGTAGTCAATCTGGAAGACAGGATTTGCAAGGAGCACCACCATCTCCTCACAGTGTTTTGCAGTGATGACCGCAAGTTGTTGTGTGACCTCTGCGTCACACAACATGCACCACAGCATGCAGACCACAGTTTGGTTCCTGTGCAGCAAGCATATGTTGAGATGAAGAATGAGTTGATGCGCAGGGATTTTGACATCCAGAAGATGATTGAGGAAAGGCAACAGAGGGTGAAAGCCATGAAGGAGTCCGTGGAACAAAGCCGAAAGGACAGCAAAGACATGATCGCTTACAGCGTGCAGGAGTTGACGGCACTAGTGAGTGAGATCCAGGAGAACCAGGAGCAGCTGGTGAGAGCGATTGAGGAGAAGCAGAAAGAAGGTGAAGAAGAAGCAGAAGGTTTGATCAGCTTTGTCAACCAGGAGGTGAATGAGCTGCAGAAGACAATCCTGCAGCTGAGAGAGCTAACGGTGACTCAGGATCGTTTTACCTTCCTCCAGAAATTCAAAAGCTCATCCTTCCCAGTCCTACAAAAAAACTTGCCTAAAACCAGCTTTTACCAACACCTGGAGGTTCGGCACATGCAGAAATATTTGAGCAGGTGCATGTCTCAGCTGCAAGTGCTTGTGAATAAAATGACCAGCGAAATAAACACCTTTTCTGTGTCCGACAACGTCACACTGAGGTACCTTCAGCAGTATGAGGTGAACGTTGTGCTGGACCCTAACACAGCAAATCCACATTTGATTTTATCTAATGATATGAAACAGGTGAGATACAATGTAGGTGCAGGTCTGTGGCTAGTCCAGGACTTGAAACCAAACATGTTCATCACACATCTTGCAGTTCTGGGTCACAACGGCTTCATGTCCCGTAAGTTCTACTTTGAGGTATTTGTGGGTCAGAAGACCGAATGGTCCCTGGGTGTGGCCTCTGGTTCGATTGAGAGGAGAGCTGCAATCCCTCAGAGTCCTGACAATGGGCTCTGGGCAATCTGGTTTAAAAAAGATAGGTTTGAAACTTTCTGCTGCCCAGGTGTGACAGTTCACTCAGATACACTGGAGAGAGTGGGCGTGTTTGTAGATTATGATGAAGGTGAAGTATCATTCTACGACGTAGAGAAAGCCCAACTCATCTTCTCCTTCACTGAGTGTTCCTTCTTTGAGGAGCTATACCCATACTTCAATCCTTGTGACAATGAATATGGTGCAAACCTCGATCCACTGGTCATTGTTCCAGTCGGCTGTTCACCAGATTTACAGACATGAAGGGTTGTTGTTGAGAAAAAGTAATTAATTAATTAAATAATAAGTGCACCTTTTTATCCAGGTTTGGACAAAATTTTCCATTAATTATTAAATATTATATAATATTATTAATTATTATTAATTTTAAGAAAGAGTCCTTTGAAATAAGTTGTTTTATGTTCTCTTTTTATTTATTAGTTCTTAATGAATAACCTTTAATTATAATTTTTTACTCACTTTAGTTCATGATTATTTAAAGAGTAGGCAAGCAATCCACTTTCAGAATGATTCTGGATGTCGACAGCGATATAATGTTGACTTGATTTACCACATACCACCGCCAAATAAAAGCACACACATCAGATGCTAAAATGACTGCCACGCTTGACTACCCAGAATATGCTTATGTTTTGATTGTGTAATCTTAAAGAGCTGCTGACTGCATCATCAGTGAGTGTAGCTTCTGACTCAGGCACTTCAGGTTGATGCGAGTTCAGGTCGCTGACAAACAAATTACTCCAGCTGCTTCCTGCAGTAGCTTTAAATCTCAGATACGTCCTCTATGGAATTAATCCCTGACCCTCTCACTTCCTGCCAACTGCAGATTTGAAAACGAAATTTTGTGGTTTACAAAGTCACCATATGAAGGAGTAGTGGTTGGCCTCACCACCAAAAAGGTCGGTAAACACACAACAGGTACAACAGTAACCAACCTAAGATTACTTAAGATTACTGACTTTAAATATCAGAAGATCATCATAGGTCCTCACACAGCAGAGCACGTCTGCTATTATTTTCCTCCCACTTCCTTTTTTTATGTGCAGTCTGTGTATAGTAGGAGTTTCTGTGTACTGTGCACTACTTGAGGTGTACAACTGAATTTGCAGCTATGGTCTTTATGAAGTCATTTCAAAGCAGTGCCAGGAATTTTGTGGACAGTTTGCCTTGCTCTCCTGGATCTATATATGTTATATATGAGTTTGTGGGTCACAAGGATAAATACTTTAGCATAAGACATTTAGCACCATTCTTTCCAAATGCTATGTACTACATTAAGATGTTACAGTAGATGCAGCCTGACAACTGGGCTATATTTGCAAGCCTTAGCCTTGCAATACTTATATAAATTATTAATAACTCATTTATTAAATTTGAAAACAATATTTCTTTTTAAAAATTGGATCTCATAAACTGAAAATAAGGTAACATTTGGATCCCAAGGCTTACACGTTTGAGAACTACTGCCTTAAAATCACATCACTGTTTCTACTTGATTTTATGATTTATTGATCTGATTAATGATGATGACGGTTATTCACTAAACAAAACATTTATCTGTAGTATTATGCCTTTAATTGTTGGTAGAAAAATGTGACTTTAAAATGAAGATAAAATGTAAGTGTAATTTATTGTTCACCACTGAATGAGCCTTTTTTATTTACATTAGAGGTGAACCTTACACTACAGAGCTTGCCATGTTTGGTCACCATGTTTTTTATTTCTCTGCATAATCCACAGCAAATAAATAATAAAATTAATTAATTTGTCTAGTAACAAACCTAGACTCAGTTTGAGTTTTTTTAAACATAAAAAGTAGCTTTACCACTAGATGTCACTAAATCCTACTCACTGATGGAGATCAAAATTAGGATCTTTCAAACCATAAATTTGCATTTTCTATTTAAACTTTTTTTGATCCATAAATTACTTTACACATTCTCTTTCATTAATTCTTTACATCCTTAACATCCTGTATATCCCATTCAGTTTTCCTTGAACACCCACAGGGCTCACAACAACACACAGAAAACACTCCCTGCAGCTAACGCCCTCCTTATTGCCACGACAACAGTACTCTACCCATCGCCATGGGAACACTGTCTCCTTGTTCCTATAATCCTTTTTTCCGGCCACAATGAGTATTTGACACGGTTCACACTCGGAGGTTTGGTGAATGTGTGTTGGGTGTTTGGCAGAGGAATAGTCTCTGTGAACCACACACTGTAATAATATTGACTCTGGGGGAGGATTTATGTGAAGGAGGCGATTTAGAACAATTTTAATAAAATTCTTAACGCAGCAATGAGACATAAAGAAAAGGTGTTTAACCAAGAAGGTGACACATTGTTTCTGTACATAAATTTCACCTGTCCAACGTCTACGTACGGCTGTAAAAGCAGCGTGTTGCGGCATTGAAATTGAGCCTGAGAAGACCCAACCCCCACCATCATCACCACTGTTCCCTTGTCAGGGGTGTAGAGAATAAAAAAGGGAAATTAACAGCAAAGGTTGAAGAACAAGGAGAAGACTTTGAGGAGAAGACGATGCAGCAGGAGAGTGGGTTTTTTTATGAGGTTCTCACACAAAATGTGGGTTAAAGTGGAAGGAGAAAATCAGTGGCGTAAAATAAGATGGTGTACAGTAGGAGGAGGAAGACAGATGGAGAAAGTCCAAGTGTTGTGTGTGTGGAGTAACACCTCCCACTCACCAGAATTCTGCACCTCGTTTAAGTAACTGTCCTCAGCCACGACCTGCAGGGAAAGAAAGGAAACTCCAGGTGAGATGTGTCATAAAATGTTTGTTTTTTTTAAATTAGAAAAAAAAAATTCACAACAAGGTTATATCATTTTTTCAGGCACAGTTGGTAACGAATAACAAAAACAAACCTTTTCTTTCACACTTCATACCAAAAACATGTATAGAAATACATTTTATCACTGTGTTTCATAATATTTTATTTGCTAAATGTAAGATATACCAAGAAAGTGCCAAAGAACAAAGTGAAAAGGTTCTGCTCATTAACTGAGACATTACATTTTTCCACTGTTCTTCAGGTGCATCTGCACACCCTGGTTTCTGTGGCCTTGCAGCAATATCAGTGACGTGACATTGTTTAGAAATGATGTCTGTGATTAAAATGACAAAGGGCTCACATATAGAAAGGTTATAAGAACATTTTTGAATGAGCTCCTGCTTCCGGAGACATAGTGACCTCATTTTCTGTGAAGCAAAAGGACTGATTACAATTAATCAGGTACATCTCCGGAGTTGTTGTCAACCTTTGCAAACCTCCACCTGCTCATCTCCATCAACTCCATGTGGGCCACCACCACAGCTAGAATCACACTTCTATGCTTTCTGAGGAGGCTGCAGCAGGCTGACCTCAGCCCATCAGTTCTGACCTCTCCTGTTGAAGGGAGCACACCGACATCCTCCATCACTGTAACTGCTGCCTGACTCACAGGAAGTTGCTGGAAATTGTGGTTAAATCTGTTCACAGAATAGCCAGCAGCAGCTTTTTCTTTTTCTACATTTTCATCAGCGGCTGCAGGAGCAGAGTGTTCTGCATCATGACAGGCCCTGGCCATCTCAGACACAAACTGTTCATCCTCTCAGGTAGCAGCCTGCTCTGCCTCAAAGCCACAAACGCACACAGACAGGATGATCACAATACCTGCCACCCACGATGGTAGCAGTAAAAAAAAACACACCTGAGGGCATCATGCTTCAGTGAATATATTTATAAGACACAGAAATTCACTGCACTTTACAAATGTATTTAAATTAATTGAATCCTTTTTTTTCTTTTTTACAATAGCTGCATGCATCGATGCACATCTTTGCTCTCCTTGTCAATGTGGTATAAAGGTGGCTTCACACTGTGTCTTTACTCTAAATGCATTTTCCCTATTGCTTTCTTAGTTGTCACTGCTTCTGCAAATTTAAAATTTAAAAGAGCAAACCCACACATTCAGTGATCAACAGTAAGAGACAGCGTCAGGTGATATCTGACTGCTTCAATTTTAGAAATCAGGTCAACTCTCTGCTGTGAGGAACCTGGAAAAACACACAAGTATAAACCACACACTAGCACAGGAAGCCATGTGACTCTGAGGGATAATTCAGACTGTTGGTAGAACAATCCAACAGATTTCAGGTTCAGCCGTATTAGGACGTCCACATGGACTGCAGGTCTGAAGAAGACAAAGCCGGAAATTGATGAAAATAATACAAGCACGCACTCACGTGCATAACATCTCCAATACAAACAGCTCCCAGAAGGCACTCTGCTATCTAATGATGTTAGTGTAGAACATGTGACCTGTGGTGGTGAACATGGGTGCTGCTGAAATTCGAATTCGTGTCAGTCACACAGCTCCATTATGGCTCTAATCAGCTAAGATGCTTCTGCACCTGCCACCACTGCACACACACACACACACACACACACGGGACCCAGAGAGGACCCTCACCTCAGCGCTGTTTCATAGTTTAAAGCTCTACAGATCACAAGAGGAATTCCTGTTTCAGAGGTTTTCACTGTTTTGATTTCTTTCTGTTTTCAACACCTTCGTTCTGATGTCTGACAAAACAAAGACAAAGTGCCGCTGCAGTCCCCAGTGTTTCCCATGAAAAAAAAACGGAAAAACAGTCAGCAATGATGTTTGAATGTAAAAGAGTCATTTTTGTGCGACACGCATGGTCGCCCTCAGTTGGCAGCTGCTATAAAATCCATCACACTGTTCTCCTTAATGTTGCTACAACATGCTGAAAAAATTAACACTAAATACGATGTATTATAGGAAGAGAGAGAGAGAGAGAGATAATGTAATAGTCATTGAATGGATGGATGGAAGGAGCAACATGAACTCCACATATAAAATGGCTTATAACAATAACATTGTTAATTAAAGAATGAAATGAATGAGAATGAGAATGAAAAAGTAAAATATTTGGAAATGAAGGAATATTTCACAGCCATTTCAGACATATTTTAAAATAAACTTTTTTTTTAAAAGAATACATTTCTTCTCTGAATATTTTACTGCTCTTTAAAACACTACATGTAAAAATACCCAAACTCTCCTCCAATAAGCTGCACAGAAGTAGACAAACACACAGATGCACACAGGTTCACATGGCTATTTTTGTTACGCAGACGTTGCATCATCCTACATCTCCAGAAAGAAAGAAGAAAAGAAAGAAAGAAAAAAGGAAAGAAAGAAAGGAAGAAAGACAGGTTTGATTTGACCCTGAGCGTTCAGGATCGCACACAATGAGTATCATGTCGTACAAAATTGTAGCTAGACAAAAGCAACTGAGAGAGGTAAAGGACCAGCAAATATGTGAAGGTTAGAAATCCAAAATATAACCAAAAATGTAAAGTGTTCATTTGCACATATGTGTTCTTCATATGCCAACAGTGTGTTATTGTGCTTTTCTCAGATGTACCACCCAGGAAACATTGAGTACCAAACAACCACATCCTTACAGATGCCATGTGGATCTAATGCTGAGAATACACATTCACCACAGTTTAAACTTGAATTTCCTGGCTGTGTCTTATGTTTCATATTTTCTCTTGGGGTCACATGAGCTGCAGCCAATCACAACAATCCTAGGTGGAGGGCAGGGTTCACCCTGGACAGTTCACCAGTCTGACACCATTCACACTCACATTTACACCTCTGGTCAATTATGTACGCCTAACCTAATCCGGACAAATGTTGACATACATACAAACTCCATACACAAGGTCCACTAGTTCTCACCGGGGACTGAACCAAGAACTCTGTTACTGCAAGGCAGAAGTATTAACCACCCATTGGCAGACATAAGTGAAAAGTAACCATCCCCTGGTAATGGACTGTATGGAGATGATAAATCCCTCTGTCAGTTTCAGTAGTGAAGAACACGTTTTTGTCCTAACCGTACCACCTGTCTCTACAACGTTTACCTACAGTAAACACATGTGGGATGAATGGACGCCTTCGACAGGCTGTAACCGCCTGCACAGAATCCATCTCCCTCTCATCACACCACCATACAAGGGAGGATGTGCATTACTATGTGTGTGCGAATGTGCGCGGCTGCCGTGCGTCAGAGGCGCGTGATGACCGTGGCACCACTAATTGCCTAAATGGTCCATTACAAGCGCTTCATGTCCTTTCATCAGGACCGGGCCGGACCTGCCGTCTTGGAAATGCACTCTGGGTAAATGGATCATCTCCGTCAAGACCATTCAAGCATGGCTGCACAGTTGTTTAGAAATACCTGGTATTTACAACACGCACAATGTGGAGTGAAGGTACAGTATTGTCTTCACTGACAGATTTTAGCTGCGGATTCTATGAAACATGCGGCGGATGTGAGTCAGTCTCACTGTCCTGGATTCTAGGTACATAAATATAGTGGAGTATTTCTCCAAATATCTCATAGGTAAACCCTGGGGGTGGGGGGGGAATGAAAAGCGTCGGGATGAAAAGAACGAGGCCAAATTGAGCGACGTGCTCCGCCAGTTTACGTACCTCCGCCAGCAGCGGCAGCCAGAGGCAGGTTCCGATCAGGCAGATGATTTCCCTGCTGCTCAGAGACATGATGCTTCCACAGCGGTGTGTCCGTGTCAGAGCCACTGAGGATGGTCCATCATCTCCGTCTCCAAACTGTGCGTGAGGTGTAGCCTTCTTATCCTCCCCCTGCTGGAGGAAACGCGCTATGTGGCGATGATGATGGGGATAATGATGAAGAAGACGAGGAGGAGGGAGAGGAGGATGCAGGGTGGGGCCCCACAAACGTTTTAATACACGCACATTCTGAGGGAGGGAGAGTGAGTGAAATAGTGTTGAGCTCTGCAAAAAAAAAAAAAAAAAAAAAAAAAATATGGGCAAAAAAGGGCTCCTCTCTCTCCTTCCCTCCTCTGAATACACTTAATGACATTTTAAAGTAACAGGAATTTTGTAGGAATACCTAACAATACATAATAATAATAATAATAACAATTATAACATGATAATATGTTAATGATAATACAGGAATAAAACGGTGTGTCTAAACAAACCAGGTCACTATATACTTCTCTTCTTCAAATCTCAAACTATCTTGAGAGCTTCAAAAAAATTAACCCACATTTAAAAGCCATTCGTACAAAAATAAAAATATTCCAGACTTACCTTTGTTTGTAGGGTGTAGATGAGTGCTTGAGGCAATCATTACTTGCCACAATTCAGTTCTAGCGTTACCCAATTACCCCACAATGAGTTTCCACCTCATTAGGACCAGAGATTGGTTCACAGGAGGAGTTCCTGGCAAGATTGAAAAAAGTGACAAAAAACGTATTATGATCCAAAAGCACATTTGCATAAACCTGTTTTAGCTATGAGCTAATTAGTGTCGACCTTCTCTTCTTCACCTGCTTTGAACTACTATTATAATGAAGACTGTAAGTCTACAGGAACACACAACACTCTGTTATTTGACAAACTAACAATGTACAACTGACTCCTCCGACCATGCAGAGTCAGATGTGATCACATAGCATGAATGAAGAGGAAATTAAATGTAGCCCAGGCTGTAACAAATGTGTGTGTGTGATCCTTTATTTATATAGATGTGCCTTTGTTCTGTTGGGAAAACATAACGCTTTAGTTGTTCATGCCCCAGGTAAACGTAAACAGGAGCAGCATCAGCATCAGCAGCAGCATCAGAAGCAGCAGCAGCCAGGTGGGACCAGCTGCTGCTGCCATGCCTTATAAGTGACGGGAGGCAGATGGGGTTCAGTGGTGTGTGTGTGTGAGATCAGACAGTCAATTGTCTAACTTGAAACTTGAATGTATATATATATAGATCTATAATTTATTCTAATACACTGTATATATTGAATCTAACGTGTACCTTGATAAGTACCTTGACATTTTGCATTCAATGTTTAGCTGTAAAACAAATGCCCAGGTTCATCCATATATATTTTTATGAATTTCTTAATTAATTTTCTTCCACTATATAACCAAACTCCTACAAAGTTAGCCTGTTTGCTAGTTCGTGGTCATTTCCACAAGATTCATGAAATGTGTTGCTTCAAACTGCTAATAAAACACAAAATATTAAAGTAAGCCAACTCATTTGACTTGAATAAAGGATGATGCCTAGTAAATGTGCACGTCCTGATTGAGCAGTTTACGACCTCAGGCTTAAAAAACATTTATTTGCTGCACATGCTGTTTCAAAAACTGATAAAAGCGAATCAGCCTTAGGGGGAAATATCCCAAACCCAAACAGGCTGTGAAATAAAGATAGATTGTGTTTGAACTTGATCCAAGAAGAAGTGTCTGAGATCAGTGTGGGACAAAACCGGAGTCAGCTGCCTGAATGTGTTGTCTTTACTCAGCAGTTGGACTGTACTTCTGGACAGAAGGAGTCAGCTCAGCTCTTTCCTGTTCCAGCTGGCTGCATGTACAGAAAAGTCTCTCAGAAAATACTTATCCTGCAAACCAGTATTCCAGTTATTGACTTCAAGAACACCCTTAAAACGACAGGTCGAAGTCACTGTCACTGTCTATCCACCTTATCATCTCTTAGTCAATGATCGATTATACCTTACACTATAAATGTTCAATTGAATCCTGTAGCATATTGCTGTGTGTTTTGTTGCTCTGTCTTGTGAAGTCTGAAATCAAAAAGCAAAAAAATGCTTTTATTGAGTTTGAGTCTGAGACTCAGCTTTACCCGGTCAAATAAAATGTAGAAAAGATGTGTGGGGGGATAAAAGCTTTTTCAAATACAGTGCCAGGGTTCTAAGATTTAGAGGTGTGTGAAGTGATGGTAGGACTACCAATATTTCTGTGTGTCTCTGTGTGTGTGTGTATGCTTGTGAATTTCTCTTTCAGCTTCAAAGAATGCAGTCTGAATTTTGAAGAAAAAAAAAAGCATTGTAGAACTGTTTAAACCAGTGGTTCTTAACCTGGGTTCGATCAAACCCCAGGGGTTCGGTGGAGGACAAGACACACACCCGACTCATGATTCGTGATGACACTCCTCCCACTTGGCCATCACCGAAGGTTCGGTGAATACGCATATAAAACTGGTGGGGTTCAGTACCTCCAACGAGGTTAAAAACCACTGGTTTAAAAGATAATGTCCAATATGTGCTAAGTAACTGAATGTTAAACATACTTTACAGTGAGTTGTTTTCTCTTGTCTCATCTTGTCTCGTCATCTTCTTATATGGCTATATGGAGTCACCGGCATCTAAAAGAAAATCAACAGATGTTAACAACATTTCATGTAACATTTATTTGACATTCCTCCATTTTTCCTTCTTATCCAGTGATGTATATGAGTTTTCTCTTTAAATAAAAAACACATTATTCTCTATGTCGCCTTCAAGATTTCATTCAAAGTTTTTCCCTGTTACAAGTTATGTTTAAAGTCTGTGGACGTCCATTTGGGACACATGGGTTTAGTGAATTAGAACTGGACAAATAAAACTGAAATGACTTGATTTGAACGAGGCTTAAGTTGTTGTGACACCACGGTTTGGACGGATGGAAAAGTGTGGTCTCCGGCATCACCTCCTCATTATGCACTGAATCCACTCACCATCCATCAGTGCTGCTGTCTGCTGCATCAGCATTTCTCTCCTCAGCCACAGAAGAGAAAACATCTGAGCAGGACACAGCTGTCACCTTTCATTCCCACTTATTTCTCTCATCTGTTCCTCTTGTTAAAGACAAACAGCTCCTTATGACGACTATTTCTGCTCTTTTTAGAACATTTCTGCACCAAACCCGACTCAAGTGTGATCTTCTATCTCCGTGTCCCAGTGTTCCCCCAAAGCTGTTAAAGAAAGATTAGTTTAATTCATATTTCACGGCTCTTTTGTGCACACGTGCCTCAGGGAAGGATTACTAGTCAAATTAAAGTTTTTTTTTCTTTAATCCTGATGGTTTTCCCCTTTGCCATTACTGCTTTTGATGTCGCCTTGCTGAGCTAAAATCTACTGCCTGCAACCCAAATCGAATTTGGATTATCATCTTCATCATCATTCTTCATCAACCTCCTTCTCTTTCGTCAGTGCTTTGACACTTGAACTGATTTGAAGTGCTGTATTGAAATCATCTGCACCAGCGCTGCTTCTTTTGTCTCCCACCCAACACAGGCCCATATGTGATATTGGATGGAATTTGGCATCACACACATTTCTGCAAACGGCTGGTTGTCATAGCAACCTCTCAGCACCTCTCTGTACCAGTGTATATTGCCCATCCTCGGCTGTTGGTGGGCACATCCAGAACAAAGGATACAACTCTTCATAAATGATGGAAAAATAAATAACTAAAAAGAACATGGTAGGAAAAAATCACACAAAAAAATCATTCTAATTCATAAACCAAATAAATAAATTGGACCATTACAGGGTGAGGGTGCTTTTTGAGCAATAGTCTACATTACACCTGACATGTACACACACATTGAAAGTCAAGATGTTGATATCTTTGTTGTGTTAAATGTAACATTCGTATCCCCTGATATTATCCCCCTCCCCAGTTTGCCTCAAGCAGTTAAAGGTTCCACCCCCACTGCTGAGACAGTTGGTATGAAAATGGATCAGTAAACCTTCCAATCCCTCTTTTAGACACTCATTGCCACTTACTGCTGCCCATTAATGTCACTGGTTCCACACCAGGGTGGCAGCAAACACCATTACTTACCCAGATTGCCTAAGGGCTGGCAAGAAATGTGTGAATCAGTGGTTGAGCGCAGGGGTAATTGTTCTGTACGCTTGAACTCTTTATAATGTCTTTGTTCTCCTTTCTTGGTTCATTCAGATTTGAACTTAGCCTGAAACTAGACATTGGCAGCAGGAAGCACTGACTTTAGATGAGGAACTTTGCGCTCACGTTTTTGGATTGATGTGACTGCAAACCTTACAAATCTTAGCAGACAAAGAAGGGTACAGCTCTGAAGTTGTTCAAATGTTAAAATATATTTGAATTTTCACTTGTTTTTTTGTTAAAAAAATACAAATCTTGACATACTATTTACTTGCACCAAACGATGTAACAATAGAATCATTGGGCATTATTTACATTTACTTTTGGAGTTGTATTGTGCCAGTGTCAGAAGAATACATTTGTAGAAGATGTTGAATGTACGAGGGGAAATATTAAGCTTCAAAATGCAAACAAAAAACAAAAAAAAAAAACATGTTAGCGCTTAGCACGCCTGCCTTGCAAGCAAAGTGCAGAGAGTCTTGGGTTTGATTCCCAGAGGAACCATATATCCTTAAAAGGACCTCCCCCTCTTGGAAGTTGCTTTGGATAAAAGCAAATGTTAAATGCATAAAAATGTAAATGTAATGTTACCTGCAAATCCATGGTATTCCACCTCAGAATTAATTTATCACCTAAAAGAAAGAAACAAAGAGATTGGTTATGAAACTCCATGTGTCATTATGTCAGCATCAAAAAACAACAAAATGCAGAGGGCGAAAGTGTAGATAGAAGAAAAGAAAAATAGTTTGTTTTGATTTTCCTGATGAAAGAGCAGAGCTATTTTATCTCTGTGAGAGGCTGAACCCCCACAGAGTGCTCTCTGGTGTCCCTCGATGCGCTTCTCCTTTCTAACTAAAATGCTTCTAAACGGAGACACAGACATCGGGAGGCTGGTGAGGGAAGGAGACGAAGGACACTGAGGATGACAGCGCATGTGATTCTAAAGAAATGGCAAATGATCTGTTCTTCTGAAGTGCCTTTTATCTATGATTGCTGCTGAAAGCACTCAGGTTAACATTCTGCTCATCCATATACAGCCCCATCTTCACTGCTTCCTCTGTCACATTTACATTACATGTATGCATTTAGAAGACGCTTTTATCCAAAGTGACTCATTTACTCTCTGCAAGGAGAAAATACTTTTTCAATGACTTGACCAGAGAGAGGTCATAATGTGAATGAGCAAAGGTTGGGATCGAATCCCTGACCTCCTGTTGAAAGACAACCTGTTTTAGCTATTGACACAGAGCTACTACTAGTGGTGGAGGACAGAGTCAACGACCTGGGGATAACATCTTCATCTTCTCTGTCCAAACATACAGCAGCTGAATCAGCACTATGGTCCACCTGACAACAAAAACAAACTCTAACTAAAAAACTATTACATTATAATTTAGAAGGTTACATTGGCGTGCAACAGACTGTTGTATTGGGAATTTTGTTTGTGTTGATGGTTAAACACAAACATAGCCTGGACAAACTTGATTTTATTCCAATTTCTACAAAGTCTACGCTAAGAAGTACAGATGTGAGACTACAATGCCACCAACTGTTAGAAAATCATGTTGACAGCATGTTTTAGACAATTAGTTTCTCTTTTGAGAGCATTTCCGACGCAGGGAATTCTATCATCTGAGGGAGAGCGGAATGTTCAAAAACCAGGAAATACTTAATTTTTTAAAAAGGAGGTTGTGTTTTGAAAAGAAGAAATTTCAGAAAGTATTATTAATATTATATTAATAAATACGAACTAAACCAAATATACCAATTCATCAGTCGATACTTTAAAAGAAACGAACACCGTTTCACAAAAAAATATATAATATACAACTTTAAGCTACTTTAAAATAAAGACTAAAACAGTATTGTGAAGAAATACAAACATTTTTGTGTGGCTCTGGCGACACTTGTTGGTCAGGAATAATCAGTGCCTGTGGTTTCCAAGCAGCAGCAGCAGGTGTAGATGATGAAAGTGGCCGAGGCGGAAGACGAAGAGAGGGAGGGAGGGAGCCGTACACAGGAAACTACCTGCAGCATTCTTCAAAATAAAACCATGGGATTTTTAGTCAATGTTTTCAGTCATTGTGACGGAGCTAATCGCTTTAGCTACTTGTGCACAAATCCTCCATTTGTACATGAGTAATACTCGTAACCATGTCAACCTGTAAATTCAAAAGAAAGCCTTATACAGAACATAATGACGTTCTTTAATTAACTCACTACTTTACGCCCCTCTGGCACTATGTGAATTTGTGGTTAAATATTATCATTTTTTGCGCTTGCTTCCTTTGTTCCAAATCTTTGGCTTTGTTCATTTCCACGGTAGCACGGTGAGCACAGTCGTTACTTTTATTTCTAAACCAACAGCAGGAAGTGCCCTCTCGTGGCAGCTGAGCTTCTTCAGCTGTGATCACTCGTTAATGAGAACACACCGGTGCCGGCGGTGGGCGAGAAGGACGCGTCAATCTGGACCTAGCTCTGGAAACTGGGTTTTGTGCGTCAGAGCACGTTTCTTTCGTTAACACACGTGTAACATCTAGTGTGCGCGCGTGAATTGGTTGTTGCGTTAAGATGCTGAGAGACATGATTGTGGAGGAGGAATTTGAGATCAAGGAGGAAGAACCGTGGTACGACAAGCAGGACCTGGAACATGGTACTGTTTCCAATCAGCCTCTTTGTTTTTTTTAAGACCATTGTTGATTTTGAATTTAAATGGACAAATTAACCGAGTTGGATTAATTCATTCATCTACTGATTTCCTGAGACACAGCGGGTTATTGTGTCAGAGACTGTAATTTTAATGCTCATATTTATTTATCAGAGCTGATGTTCAGGCGAGGCTGCAGAACAAAGCTTCAGTCTGCAGAACATGGTCTGCAGAACACACATGCGTCGAAAGGAAGAACAAAATTCTGTTAACTCTGACAACCCATTGCATCATTTTTTTCAAATTTCGGTTTCCTGTTCTTGGCCTTTGTCACATGAGCATTTACACAATCTGAAACAGTCGCAATTAAAAAAAAAAGACTATTGAAATAAGCCTAGGCACTCAGATGTCAAGTTGTCCTTGCTGTGCAAATAAGCCATAAAAATGAACTGTGGATATTTTGTACTGCTTTTATGGCTGCAGACTAACAGCTAATGTTCAGCTAGTGAACCAGTACTTGCAGTGAGTTGCCCTTGAAAATTATATATATATATATGTATATTTTTTACCTTTAGAATGAATTGTATGCGTCAAGGTCTGAATGTCTCCCTCCAACATCTCAACTGTAGAACTGACTGTATACAGTTGTAAACACCATGTGTGTTTCTCCTGCAGATTTGCAACTGGCAGCTGAACTGGGGAAGACTCTGCTGGAGAGGAACAGGGAGCTGGAGCAGGGGCTGCAGCAGATGATCTCCACCAACCACGAGCAGCTGCAGGAGATTGAGGTCATTTAATGTCTCGCAACATCTTTGTGCAACTTGAATGTAAACAGTATGTGCTTACCTTATTATTGATGACACTGGTTTAAATCTGAGCGGAACACGAACAGCTAGGCTTCAATACCTAACATAAAAATTGAAAGCATGTTATTTCAAAAGTATTTACTAATTATATGACAATGAACATTGGACTAATGATAAGATAGGTATGGAAAACAACTGCCTACTACTTTCAAGATGCCAATAAATGATTGAATTCTTGCTAATAATTAAAATAGAAAACATATTCTTAGACCATAGACCAATAGACCATAGACTACTCATATTTAACATTTTTCATAATTATAACACAACATACATAAAAATACCCACAAAAGATAAATATTAACAAAATTATGAATAGCCTAGAATAAAAGAAACATCATCAGATCATATCTTAAAATTAGCCAAACTACACTGAGCAAAAATATAAATGCAATGGGGTTTTTTTTGCTTCCATTTTTCATGAGATGAACTCAAAGATCTAAAATCTTTTTCTATGTAGACAAAAGGCCTATTTCTCTCAGATATCTGTCTAAATCTGTGTCAGTGAACATTTCATCCACCCACCTCACAGTTGTGGCATATCAAGATGCTGATTAGACATTATGATTATTGCACAGGTGTGTCTGAGGCTGCCCACAATAAAGGGCCACTCTCAAAAGTGTAGCTTTATCACAAAGCACGATGCCAGGTTTTAGTCTGTAAACAGACTAGTGCACATCCGAACTGAAATCAGCTGTTCATGCCTCTGTAGCTCCTTCGTCAGGTCTCCCTGTCCCTCATCTTCAGTTCATATTCAAACATGCTGGATCACATTTTTATGTCCTCTTATTACGTACTAAAATTTCACAAAGTGTTTCCAGATTCCTGAAACCCAGTTTTAATTTCCTTAAGTGGCCTCAGGGTTGACTGTGTGTGTGTGGAGCAGTAAAAACCTCCTTACATGTCACTGCGGACACACAGCAATGAATCTCTGTAAGGTCTGCACCAATACTTTTGACGTCACAGATGTGAATGGAGCTCATGAGCTGCGCTGCTGTCAGTCATCGTCCTTACAGTAAAGTGAACTCTGAAACTCTGACAGAGCACACTCTCTCACTCACACACACATGTTCCTCACTGTCTCTGCTGTCTCCATGGACTGTAGTTAGACATTGAGCTCGTCTTTCATGTTTTGTTCAGTCTGGTAGTTTTCAGAGGACAGATTATATCACTGTAGGTTCACTGTGTTCCAGCTGATAAGATTAAGTGTTAGTAAAGTGATGGCTCTTCGAAGGACTCGCTTTTTAAGCATTTGGAGATAAGCAGACTAGGTGTTTATTGTAATTGTAAATAATACAATGTAGATAAAGAAAAAAACTAAAGCTGCAGACAATGAAAGTCAATAAAATGGCAAAAATAAATCTGTCAAGTATTAAAAAAAAATGGATGTTTGGTGTTGTCCTCTTTTATCCTCACAAGAATAGTTTTAAGGTGCAGTTCTGGTCGCCTAGGGTATTAGCACTGCTCTCTGACAAGTTTTGCTAAGATTAACCAAATTGCACCTTAAAATTATCTCAGAATGGACCAAAATCCAACCAAAAAGGGCACAATTCACCATAAAACACACACAAACAAACAAACTGAGTACACATTTCTGAAATGAAGGCAGCTCTTATATTTACAACTAAGCAGGATCTGCTTTTTAAATGTCAACTGACTTTATCTGCACTGTCTCGTCCTGTTTGTCCATCGTCCAGTACCTGACAAAGCAGGTGGATCTCCTCAGAGAAGTCAATGATCAGCATGCCAAGGTGTACGAACAGCTGGACGTGTCGGCCAGAGAACTGGAACACAACAACCTCAAACTGGCTCAGGATAACAGGGCGGCCCAGCAGAAGATTGAGGGGTAAACAGAAAGAAAAAAACATGAAACAAGACTTTGTGTCTTACAGGAGTCATTAGCAGAATATTGTTTTGCATTTTTTTTGCAGGCTGATGGAGATAGTAGATCTGCTGCAGACGCAGGTGGAGGAGCTGCAACATCAGGTGGAGGAGCTGAGGCTCAGCCGTCTGCCTCCGAAACCTCAACACAGAGACAGAAGCTCCACCCGCAGCAGTCAGAGCGTGTCTTGCCTGAAAGAGCTGCAGAGCACACAGAGGTGAGGTGATGCTACAGCTCTTGGACATTGACCAGTGAAGTCAAACTACAGTTGTACCTGAGGGTAACTGGTTAATGTCTCTGTGTTGACACAGCAGTAGATCTCCTTACTTACTCCTGGGTGAAAAAACAGAACGACAAATAAATGATGGCTGGTTTAACTAGTTAGACATTTATTTATTCCACCTCACCAGAAGGCTTAGCATTTGTACTAGATAAACAAACTTAGAAGCTAAGCCAAGCAGCATTTATTATTATTGATTTTAAAAAAACGAACACAAAAAACAGTTTGGATGATAACTGACAAGTTGTTTTCCCTTTTTAAAAATCTGCTAACTGTGCTGACCCTGAGGCTGAAAACACTTAGAGTGGCATGAGTAAAACTTTGACACAAAAAGGGAAACCGTAAGCCCCTCCTATCTTTAGCCTTCTTTGATGTGAGCTAATCCTTCACTGACCATCAGCCATGTTAAATCACAGAGGCTCACTGCTGTCATGCTGTGTCCACTTAGATGAGGGTCAGACCAAAGACAAGTTTACCTACAGTGTGAGTTTGGTTTACGTAATCTTGTTAGAGGAGCTCCATCCAAACATCCAGGTCAGGTGGATGGAATCATCCTGATAAAGCTGAGGCAGGTCAGCCATGAACTCAGAGTGCAGCACACCGGATAAGGTTGGAAGGAAAGGGGTCAAAGTCTCAGATGGAGGTGGGGGTGTAACTGACACAAACATGTCTCTTATTGAGTCATCAGCTGATCTCAGTCACCATGTCTGTTCTGATATCTCCCTCCCCCGTCCCCTTCCTCTCTCTCTCTCTCTGCTGTTGCATCATTTCTGTTTCAAAGATTTAACTTTATTAGTGGGGGAGATAAAAATACTCATTACATGGGTTGTTGACATTTAAAGCTGAAAAATATATTTTTGTGTTGTTGAGACTCTTGACTTTCCAAATATATATATTTATTTATTTATATATATATATATTTTTATTTAGTATCAGAATTTACTTTTTTTATCATTTTTGCTCTATTAGTGCCTTAATTTGCCATATGGTGTGATGTTAATGCTGTTTTATATAAAATGAAAATGGGGTATTTTCTTTCGTTTCTAGCAAGCTTCATCAGGCTTTTCAATCATGTCTGCAGTGATATTTAACACTGCCTTGCAAGAAATTGGTAAAAGAATGCACAACTGTTACAAAGGAACAGTTATTCTGCAAAATACTTTCACCCAACATTTATCCTTTTCACTTGAACATCACTATTCTCTGTTTCAATGCCACATATAAAATATTAATACCCCATATCATTTTTAAGGCTTTCTATCTGTTTTTTTTTTTATCACAACAGTCATAATGTAGTAACCTTGTTTTTCTCAGCTTTTTCTTTGAGCACAGGAACCAAATTAATAAAAGTTAGTTACAGGTTCCAGAAGTGATAAGTGCTGTGTAAAACATCAGAACACTGCTGTTTAAAGCTTCCACTGTGATTGTTCATCACAAATTAAAGAGTATAATTCGTTAGTGTCCATGTATGTTCACAGGTGTGACGCTAATCCTGATGAACCTTCAGACAACCTGAAGACAGCCAGTGTGTTGTGGCGTGAGCAGGAGCAGGCGTCGCTGCAACAATCACTCCACTCCCTCCAGATTCAGTTTGCCGGTGAGCGTGCCCAGAGAGAAGAAGTGGAGCGAGAGGCTGAGCTTCTTGCCAGGGAAAACGCAGCGCTTGAACAGAAGCTAGCAGGGCTTGACGGGTGTCGGGTATGTCAAAAAGTTTCTCTCAGTTGTGTTTGTGCATGTTAATATGGAGAATGTAAAATACATCAAAATAATGTGTTAAAACTGTTTGTATTTGGAGATAGTTGTGTTCAAAGTAATAGCAGTACGTTTAAAAACATGAGTAAAGGCCAAAATCCTTATTATATTTATATATTTCCCCACAATGGGAACACTGCACATTGCGTTGCATTTCCTCCTTGTCAGAAGGCAACACGACCTCGTCAGGTATTTTGATATATGCAAACTGATCCATGATCCCTTGTATGCGGTAAATAGGCCCGACACCATAGTAAGAAAAACAGCCCCATGTGATATCATGATGCCTAACACCAGCATGCTTTACTGTCTTCTGAGTGAACTGTGTCCTGAATTCAGTGTTTGGGTTCGTCTGCAAACTTCCTGCTGCCCTTTGAGCCAAAGAACAATCTTACTTTTAACAGTCCACCAATTGTTTCTCTATTTTCTCTTTACGACAATTGATGTTTTGTTTTTTTTGTACCCTCTCCTGCACGTGTTATTTTGAACACAACTTTGCCAAGTTTTACTATGCAACAAAATTTCTTTGACAGATTTTGCAATTTTATTTCTCAGAGATTCAGACTTAAAACTGCTTTTGTCTTTAGGCTTTTCCTGTTTCTTGGATCTCCTGTGAGACTATTTTCTAACCTAGAATTTGCCCATTTTTGTTTAAACATAAACAAAAATTTAAAGAGGTTTACCTGTTATGATGCATAAATCATGTCTGTTGTGGTCATCAGGCCCGAATACTTGAGCTGGAGCGAGAGGCTGAAGAACTTCGTCAGCTTTGGAAATCTGAGTCCTCTACGAGATCCTCCACGCCTAATGCATTTCACAGCTTTCTGTCAAACTCCATGCTTCTTCAGCCAGAGGAGGAAGATGAGGCTGAAGGCGTAGCAGCTGTAGCTAAAAGCCCTGCTGAGCTGAAACGTTGGGGCAGTGAAAGGCTGATGAAGACCACACAAATGCCCGGCTTCAGTGACAGGATCTGTGACCATGAATGCTCCTGTATACGCCGGGCCGAAGTGGTGAAGTACCGTGGCATCTCGCTGCTCAGTGAAGTGGACGCCCAGTACAGTGCCTTGCAGGTGAAGTACGATGAGCTGCTGCGGCGCTGCCAACCAGAGCTGCAGGAGGGAGAAGAGGACGGTCAGAGCCATAAATCAGTTCAGACTCTGTCCCTCAGCAGTGTGTGTTCTGCCCTTACACACATGCAGGAATTTGAGGAAGACTTTCACCAACCAGAGTACAAAGAGCTTTTTAGAGAAATTTTCTCACGTATTCAGAAAACCAAAGAGGACCTGATTGAAAACAGAGGGGGGCCGTCGGCTGCCGGTGTGCTGAACATGTCTGGTTGCTAAATTGTCGGCTTCCGGCCGCTACCTTTAGCCCGGATTGACAATAAATGAGGAGTGATACAGAAACAGGAATCCAAACACCAGTTTATTTCTCAGATGTGGCTCCTTTTGCACTAAAACACCAGTGCCTCACACCGCCACCGTCTCTACTGTGCAGTCACTCTACCTCACTTTGCACACAGCTATGTGTTTACAACAAGCGCCTGGAGAACCCTTTCCTCTGTTATCCATCCTCCTCTGATATATTTGACATCTGTAACACACTGAATGTTGCAGTAGTCTGGTAGTGTACTTTAGATTTAACAAAGGTTTAATTTAATATCCAATTTCCTGAGAAGAAAATAGAGCAAGCAATAACAATTTGAAGTATTTGCAACCAGTTTCAAAATTCCAGCCAATCAAAAAGTTGTAGTCTTTAATGAGTCGATGAGCTCGACTTGTAATACTAAAAAAAATTGACAGTGTCACATCTTTAACCCTAGAAGGACAAATTGCTTTCATCATATTTAGAAATTACTTTGACTTGCCCTATAGTCATGGGTGTTAAATTCACGTTCAAGTTCAGGATAGTTCCTGTAAGATATGGAGAATAAATCAGTGGTACTATTACAGGCAAAAAGGAAGTCACCTTGTTCTGGAATCAAAGATGGCTCCTGGTAAAGTCTGAGGACCCTTGTGCATTTCCTGTGGTGGAAAACAAGCATAAACTCTTTGAGAGGCTGCAACGCTTATATTCATCTTGGTGCTCTGAGTAAAATAAAAACAACCCAAGAAACAAGTAATTTAGTGTTTAAACAAGTGAATATTTGTAATGTTTCTAAAATTGACAAACACTGAAAGCAAAAAAATATAGTTATTGGTAACATCATTAGGGATTAAGTGCTATAGCTGTAATTACTGTATTTTCTTTACCTGTTTTGTAATGTGAACTCTTCCTCTCTCTCTCTGTGGGAAATTGGAAACAGTTTAGCCTGCGCTTGTAAAAAAAAAACCCACAATTGACTCTAATGTTCATGAAAGGAGTTATTGCAAAGAAAATATAATAGTCTCTTGTAGCAATTATGTTTCTCAGAAATGAAAATTATTGTATGTTGTGCTAAAAGACTGAATGTTTTTATGACAGGGTTATAGGCTTGTCTTTGCAGCTCCTGTGTAAAAAAAAAACTTTGGAATATTTCTTCATGTCTAATAACTGAGCAGATAATTTGCAGTCATCTGTTTGAGTAAAGTTAAGATGCACTTTAGAAACACACATTAGCTTTTGCTTCTATGTCACTTTATATTTCTCTAAAATGTATCTTGTGTGCTATGTACTAATTTTTCAGTTACTTCTGTAAGTTTTTTCCTGTTTCCTGTTTGGACCTCATTGTCACTGCTATTGCTTTGAGCCATAAAACGTGAAACAAGCAGAGAGAGCAAATTTTGGGTTATTCCTGTTGACTCCATTTTCCTTTTAAAATTAGTTAACTGCAACATTATACAAGTGTGATAAATGTGACAAAACCATCTACACGCTGCTGACCCGCCGAGTGGGGCAGGAGGTTAGCGTGCAAAACAGTAGCTTGTTTGAGGCGCACGGTTTGGACATTCAAACTAGTTCTGACTGCACGCATCGTTTCAGTCAGCGTCTTATTGAATTGTACGAGATAGCGCTTTGTTATTTGGCCTCTTGTGCATGAAGACCGTCAAACTGTTTTATCATGGTTCAGATGGGAAGAGAAATGGAGTAGGGGTGATCCTAAAGGAAGAATATGTAAGAAATGTGGTAGAGGTGAAAAGAGAGTCAGACAGGTTGATGTGTGTGAAGGTAGAAGTAGAAGGAGAGATGATTAATGTTGTTAGTGGTTATGCCCCACAGGTGGGCTGTGAGTTGGAAGAAAAGGAGAAGTTCTGGAAGGAGCTAGATTGGATGGTAGAGAGTATCCCCAGGAGAGAGAGAGTGGTGATTGGAGCAGACCTAAATGGTCATGTAGGGGAAGGGAACAGAGGAGATGAGGAAGTGATAGGCAGGTTTGGTGTTAGGGAGAGAAACGTAGAAGGACAGGCAGTGGTAGATTTTGCAAAGAGAATGGAAATGGCTGTGGTAAACACATATTTCCAAAAGAAAGAGGAACATAGGGTGACTTACAAGAGTGGAGGCAGGTCCACACAGATAGATTATATTCTATGTAGAAGATGTAATCTGAGGGAGATTAGAGACTGTAAGGTGGTGGCAGGTGAGAGTGTAGCCAAACAACATCGGATGGTAGTGTGTAAAATGACGATGGAGGTGACAAAAAGGAAGAGAGTGAAGACAGAGCAGAAGATCAAGTGGTGGAAACTAAGGAAAGAGACATGTTGTGAAGACTTCAGGAAGGAAGTAAGGGCAGTTCTGGGTAGTGTTGAGATATTCCCAGATGATTGGGAGACTACAGCTGCAGTGATGAGGGAGACAGGTAGGAAGGTGCTAGGTATGTCCTCTGGGCAGAGAAAGGAGGACAAAGAGACCTGGTGGTGGAATGAGGAGATCCAGGAGAGTGTGCAGAGAAAGAGATTAGCGAAGAAGAGATGGGACAGTGACAGAACAGAAGAGAACAGACTGGAGTACAAAGAGAGGACAAGGGAGGTGAAGAGGGAAGTGGCCAAGGCCAAACAAAAGGCATATGAGGAGTTGTATGAGAGTTTGGAAACAAAGGAAGGAGAAAAGGAGTTGTATAGATTGGCGAGACAGAGAAATCAAGCTGGGAAGGATGTGCAGCAGGTGAGGTTGATTAAGGACAGAGAGGGGAATGTGATCACAAGTGAGGAAAGTGTGCTGAGAAGATGGAAGGAATACTTTGAGGAGTTGTTAAATGAGGAAAATGAAAGGGAAAGTAGAAACGAGGAGCCAGAGACTAGTAGGAAGAAGGTAGATCAGGTTAGAAAGGATGAAGTTAGAAAAGCCCTGAAGAGGATGAAGAGTGGAAAGTCAGTTGGTCCTGATGACATACCAGTGGAAGTATGGAAGTGTTTAGGAGAAGTGGCAGTAAATTTCCTGACTGGTTTGTTTAACAGAATTTTAGAGACTGGCAAGATGCCTGATGAGTGGAGAAAAAGTGTTCTGGTGCCAATTCATAAGAAGGGTGATGCACAGAGTTGTAACAACTACAGAGGGATAAAGTTGATGAGCCATACAATGAAGATTTGGGAACGAGTAGTTGAAGCTAGGTTGAGGCAGGAAGTGGAGATTTGTGAACAACAGTATGGTTTCATGCCTAGGAAGAGTACCACAGATGCAATATTTGCCTTGAGGATGTTGATGGAGAAGTACAGGGAAGGTCAGAAGGAGCTGCATTGTGTATTTGTAGATCTAGAAAAGGCATATGACAAAGTGCCAAGGGAGGAATTGTGGTTTTGTATGAGGAAGTCAGGAGTGGCAGAGAAGTATGTTAGTTTGGTGCAGGACATGTATGAGAATAGTACAACAGTAGTGAGGTGCGCTGTTGGGAGGACAGAAGACTTCAAAGTGGAGGTGGGACTACATCAAGGATCGGCCCTGAGCCCCTTCTTGTTTGCTGTGGTGATGGACAGATTGACAGATGAGGTCAGACAGGAGTCCCCATGGACTATGATGTTTGCAGATGACATTGTGATCTGTAGTGAGAGTAGGCAGCAGCTAGAAGAGAACCTAGAGAGGTGGAGGTTTGCACTAGAAAGAAGAGGAATGAAGGTCAGTCGCAGCAAGACAGAGTACATGTGTGTAAACGAAAGGCAGAACAGTGAAATAGTGAGGCTACAAGGAGCAGAGGTGGTGAAGGTGCAGGAGTTTAGGTACTTAGGATCAACTGTTCAGAGCAGCGGAGACTGTGGAAGAGAGGTGAAGAATAGAGTACAGGCAGGATGGAACAGCTGGAGAAAAGTGTCAGGAGTGATCGGTGGCAGAAGAGTGTCAGCTAAGGTGAAGGGAAAGGTTTACAGGACAGTGGTGAGACCAGCCATGATGTATGGTTTAGAGACAGTAGCAATAGGCAGAAGACAGGAGGAGGAGCTGGAGGTGGCAGAGTTAAAGATGCTAAGATTCTCTTTAGGAGTGACAAGAATGGACAGGGTCAGGAATGAGGTCATTAGAGGGACAACACAGACAGGAAGGTTTGGAGAAAAAGCTAGAGAAGCCAGATTGAGATGGTTTGGACATGTGCAGAGGAGGGACAGTGGATACATTGGTAGAAGAATGTTAGAGATGGAGCTACCAGGTAGGAGAAAGAGAGGAAGGCCAAAGAGGAGATATATGGATGCAGTGAGGGAGGACATGCAGGTAGTTGGAGTCAGAGTAGAAGATACAGAGAACAGGGAGAGATGGAAATCAATGATTTGCTGTGGCAACCCCTGAAAAAGGGACAAAGCCGAAAGAAAAAGAAGAACTAGTGTGTTCAGCTGTTTTTGTGTTTGCATGAAGACCGTTTGGTTTTAGTGGGCCAAACATTTTGGGTGTTGCAATTTTAGCCAAGCGGCTTGTTGTGTGGGAACGTTTCCTTCAAAGTGTTGCTTGCACTTTGTAGTGCATTGTAACAATGAGCCACGAAGGAGACGGCAGGTCTTCGAGGGTACGAATTTACACTTTTTCATTTTTTTTAAGCGTGTGTGTGCGCGTGCGCTCGTATGACATTGATGAAGTCAATCTTTTCAGGTGTAGCAGCAGACCCATATCGCCATCACCTGGGCCGGTGGACTCCACGACGCCAAGAAGTCCGAAGCATCTGGTTTCTGTTACGTGAACGACATCGTCCTGGCCTTAAGCTGCTCAAGTAAGAAAATAAACATGTCACGGTTTTTTGTTTTTTGTCAGCGGAAATGAAACTTTTGGACAGCATTTACAGAGTGTTGTGAAATGTTTACAGGACACCGGGACTGGAAAGAGTAAATACTACGCAGTGAATTACCCTCTCAGAGATGGTATCGACTATGAGTCGTACGAAGCCGTCTTTAAGTCGGTAGGTGTGTTTTACTGTGAGTGCGATTTGGTTTTATTTCCCCCCCAACTTCTCTGTGCACACGTTTTTAAAATGTGCGTCTTGGGTTTAGATCATGACCAAGTAATGGAGATGTACCAGCCGAGCGCAGTGGTCCTTCAGTATGGAGCCGATTGATCCTCACTGTTAAAGGTATGAAAAGAAATGATTTAACGCCTTTCACAGGTATTGACAAAGTAGTGACACCAACTGGACAAATTCAATACAGACAAGATTGATGCAAACAGTTTTAGAAGTGTATAAAGTTTATTGAATAAATCAGAAGTTTAATGTTAAGTAGAAAATGAAGGTTGCTCCTAGGCTTCGTTTACACGACTGTTTCAATGCCTGTCTTACTGAACTGTAACCATGAAATTGACATTGCTGTTTTAATACCTATATACCTTTAAAACCTATTTGTATTTGATCAATGACAATGCATTTTTCTTCATTTTTGGGAGTTTTTTTAAATTGTAAGCACAAAATAGGTCATTGGTTTGTTTTAAGGCAAATTTACTTTTTCAGAATGGAAAGCAATCTGTTAGTATATGTTGCCTTTGATCAACAGTTGTATCCAAGAATATTTGATTGCATTGTGTGTGCAGTTTCAGTAAATGATCATGCTAAAGAGTTTTAGCATTTTGTTGAAACTGCAGCCTTTTTATGTTGAGAAATATCCACATGTTCCCCATCAGGTGGAGTTTCTTGGTAGATTAATGCTTTTGTTATTGAGAGTTTAACATGATGTTGTGGACTCCTTTTAGGCCCTGCCAGTAAGCAACCTTTATGTGTAACTTTTTGGCCAGTGAGGATAGCCTGTGAGGAGGAAGTTGCAGGAAAGCTAAATGGTCCCCAAAAGGGAGAAAAAAAAAAAAAAAAAAAAAAAAAAATAAAAAAATGTTCTCTTTCTTTAACCATACCCTTGACTTTGACTATTTTTTGCCTAATTTCTGGAAATAAATGCAGCATACACAATATACCAACAACTTTCTTTATTCTAGGTTTACAACAATCAAATACAGACAACAATGAAAGTGCAAGGGCCAAAAAGTGACCCTGTTGCCAAAAAGTTTCAGTAAAATACTCACAAGTCCAGCAAACAAGTGATCTGCCTCAAATAAAGTTGCTCCTTCACTCTACCTGGCCAGATGCTGTGTTCACAAGTCCTCTCCACCTGTTAAGACAATGACAATAGCATGCAATGAATGGAATGGCTGGAATAACACAATCAAAAGCTGTCAGTGTAGGTTCTTAGTCATTTAATCCAAATATAGTTACATCAAGGGCAAATGGACAAAGTATGTGGTTCCATTTACCTGTTTGCCACCAGGTATCCACCATAGCTTGTCCCCAACCACACTGTAGTACCACTGCCATGCTTCAGTGTTGTTTGGCTCACCCACTGCCAGAACACAAGAACAGAGTCACTCATCAAACCTTTGTTTGCTTTGCTCTGTTTATGTCAATGCAAATATGTTCACTTGAAACAAAAACACAAACAAAAACTGGTATATATTTTTTTTATTATAGAGGCTCACACTCCCCCATAGCAGGAGTGCAGTAAAACAACACTAAATCTTTTGTAGTGAAAAACAAATCTGAATAACACCTTCAAAATGCAAGTTTTTACCTTAAATTGTGAAGGCAAATCAACTTTATTGGAATATGCCATACATAAAGAACAAAAAAAATCAATTACAGTTCTCTCTGACTCAAGGTGTAAACAGGCAAAAAATATAAAAACACTCAAATAACAAAAAATCAAATGTAAAAATTTAAATATAAGTATAAACACAAATGAACAGCCAATGGCATTTTCTAAGAAAAATAAGATACTTTTTGTATGGTCTTTATTGTCATTGTACCACGGGGATACAACGAAACTGAGCCGCTTTTATCCCATCACCAACATTAAAACAGGCCATTATTGCTATTAGGGTGAGGTAGCGTGGTTTAGATGTGCCACAAATCATCAAAATCACTTGATATGAAAGTGCCTCAAATCATCATATTGTGCCATATTAAAAATTGACATTTTATGATGACATGTATACATAAATAATGTGACTTTCTTGGAAAATGCAAAAGACCACAAAGTAATCCAAGAATACATTTGTATCCTCCAAGATATGCCACCATGTGTGACTTTGTTATTGAACGTGAATAAAATACCGTACTACTAAATGTTTGATAAACCAGAGCAATATTTACGGTTTAATTTAAAGTCTCTATTGCTACGCATGCGCAAACTATCGAAAGAAAATGGCGTAAATTTAAAGGTCCCGTAATGTAGATTATCGTTAATGCAGAAATAATTTGTAGATGTGTGCGAAAAGAAATACAATGGCTGACTGACGACATTACCAAAAAAGCAACAATGTTGTGGTATCAGTACAGTTAACTCAGAAGAAATGTCATTTAACCCGAACGAAAAGCAGACTGTACAATTGAACAAACTGAATAATGTATAACAGAAAACAGAAAATCATTGTAATGTAATTCTTACCTTTCGGTTTTTCAAACCTTTGTCTTTTCAGGACTGTACACAGAGATGATAACGCTGGACTGCAGAACTAAACACATGCTAGCAGGTTAACTTGCCGTCAAAAAAAGTTTATCGAAAAAAATACTAACGAACTACTGTCCATAAAATGACATTGAACATCACACAAAACTGCTTCATTATGTAGTTTAAACGTAAAAAGTTTGGTAAAAAGTGATTTTTCCCCTCGTTACGTCCGCAAAAACTCGACGACGACCAAATGTTTGTTTGCGTTATAACTTTAAAACCTTTGATACGCATGCGCAAACCAGGTAGAGGAAATGACGTAAATTTCATCGTTAATGTTAAAGAACTTATAGATCAGTGTACAAATAAAAATTTAAATAAAAACAGAATTAAAGAACATATGAGAAGTTTCTTAATAACATTTAGATCTTCAATCAAACATGCATCTTGATAAAATAAATTATCGGCATTTTTTTATTATATTCTTTCCACTAACTAGTCAAGACTTGACAACACCGTGTATTTGTCTTCTACTTCCCAGTCATTTTTGTTTTAATGTGCCGATACATTGTTGCGCGCTGTGACGTCACATCAGTCAGAGTTTATAGTCAATGAACAATCCTAACAATCCTTGGGGGCAAATTAATACATTTCCCCGCAAGCGATGTATCACCATTGACTTATTGAGAAGTTTGTATAAAGAAAACCATTTCATAAACCGTCAACATAATTTTATTCCAAAATGCAGTTTTTAGTGGTTCTTCTCTAAACCATGCACCACAGCTTCTCTAACAAAAGTAATCCATCTCAAACGAAATACATTTAACCAGGAAAGTCAAACCTCACACCCACCTTTCAACCTGCTTTTTAAATCCCATTTTTAAGTTTCAATTAAAACAGACAGACATTTCCTAAGGTAGTTTGTCCATCATTTATTGCAAAACACTAAGTGATATTGTTTTATTTCTTCTGGTTACATGTTTGTTGATTCATAATTGTATTTAACCATCTCTACAGCTCATCTGTTCAATAACAGGTTGAATATCCAAAATAAAGGAGTGAAAGCAGCGGTTAAAGAACTAACAGATTTTACCAATAATAACTTTGATGATGAAGTAAAACAGGTTTACTGGCAATATACAAATGAAGTTAAATGAAAGCCATGACTGCTTCCAAAGTAAACATCATCTTGAGCTGGTAAAAGTAAAATTCAAAAATACTTTAGGAGCATTAGGATTAGCATTAGGTCTGAAAGCCAAACAGGAACTGATGAACTGTCTGTGTGGTCACTTCTTCATATTTTTGCTTTTAAATATTATTATTTTATGTTCCAAACGTTTGTGACATTTCACAGCTTATGTTAAAGTCTGAAGTGCTTTAATTAAGCTTAATGATCTGAGCAGAGCAGGTGGCTGACAACTTTCAGTCAGTCAGTCCCCCGCCCTCAGAGCAGGACAAGCTGTGATGGCTCTCATCTGTCCCACTGCCTTCCCACTGGACAGTCCGGAGGGGATTTGTTTGGCTAACGGTGGCCACCAGGGGCAGCAAGTCGACGTCAGGACTGTACTGTTCCCTTCAAGTACCACATCCCTGCATGGCAGATACAGCATTCCTGAACAAAGGAGAGTTTACCACCTAATAAGACCATTAAAAAAATCAACAATGAATGAAAAAAAAAATGAACAAAAATAGTTTTACCTTGAGCAGCCTGTCAATGTCAGCTTTAGGGGCGTCTCCAAGCTCCTGTGTCAGTCTGGCTTGAATCAAGTTTCTCTTTATCCTGTAGTTTCTGGTGAACACGTCGTACAGCAGTCGACGGTGCTGCGAGAAAGTGACAATTACCACACTTCAAAATGGTATATTTTGAGTAAAATAATGAATGTTTCTGACTTTAATTTTCTTGTATAATGGACTATGAATACCATGTATTTAATAAAAAATAAATAAAAGATCAACTTTATGATCCCCTGAAAAAATCTCAAGAATGCTGCAGACTCTCTGAGGTATTTACAGTGTAATCAAACAGAGGATGGTCTAAATATACTTTGAAATATCATTTCTTTTGTCTGAAAAAGAATGCAATAATGTCATGTTGTTTTGTTGTCAGCAAGCAGGTTTTACAGGAGCAAAAAGTATTTGACGATTATTTGTGAGGCAAAGAAAAACCTACTTGATCAAAGTCATCTCCAGTTTCCCACAAACCAAACACCTTCTGTTCATCGAGGGCCAGTGTGCTCTGGGAAGGAAACTGAAGTGAAAAAAAGAGAGAAGAAAACAACAATGAATCTTACAGTTTATTAACACAGACAAAGCAAATAAGACAATTAATTTGACATTTCTACCTGTGCAGCTGCACACTAATGCTGCAGAATA